TTGGGATGATCTAAGGATGTGGAAGGTGCAATCGAAGTGCAAGCTTGCATGTCATGGTGCTTAATGCATTTGCAACTTTGTGCAGAATATGAAACCTGGGTCGATAAGTAGATGAGATTTGAGTGATTAGAGGTTTTTATCCAGGGTGACAATTAATTTTTCCCAACAATGATGGGAAGTCACAGACTTGAAACATTAACTCTCTTTCTCCCCACACAGATGTCGCCTGACCAGCTGAGTATTTTTCCAGCATCTTCTGTTTTTATCCCAAAGTATTGCGTCTGGTGAACTTCAGTAAAGGGGAGTTCTTGTCTAACGGACATAGCTGTGATAGCTCTCCTATAACTGACAAATTCTGGGAGGAGCAGTTTGTAAACTAATATTTAAAGCCAGGTTTCTCAGGAGGACGCACAATCTAAAATTCTGCAAATGTTTCAGATAAACCTGGATTTATACAGCGCCTCTAACATAGTGAGGCATTGTAAGCCTTTTCACAAGTGTATCAGACAACATTGGAAACTGAGCTACATATGGAGATTTTAGGACAGGTGGTTTGCCAAAGAAGTAGGTTTTACAGAGTAAATTTGAAGGAAGAGAGGGAGGGAGAGAGCTGGAGAATTTAGGGAGGCGATTGCAGAGCTTAGGATTTTGGTAGCCAAAGGCCAACAGTAGAATGATAGAAGTAGGGATGCGCAAGGGAACAGAATTGGAGCAGTGTATAGATCTCAGAAAATTGTACAACTAGGGCAGGCCTCATAGATAGCTACCAGTGAAAAGAAATGCTAGATGATGCTGTGGTGTGCACTTACATATATTGAATACAATTTTCCCCTCCCTGGAGGTGGTGAGAGAAGGCATGAGCAGTGCAGTTTATTAGGCAAGTTAGCCTTGTAGAGATACTCAGCTCCTTCTCGCCACCTCATCGAAACAAAACTGTGAGAGAATGTCGATCAGGGACTGTCCCAGCTGGCCAGTAATTAAAGCCATCGAGTAAAAACCCAGCAGGTCTGACAGCATCTGTGGAGAGAGAAAAACAGATAAACAAAGGGCCTCAACCTGCCACCTTGTGGTGCCATAGCTTTCTAAGGAATGAGAAAGTTATGTGGTTTCTTGACTGGGAATCAAGGGTGACCTGCCAGCTAGGTTGCAGAGTCAGGGGCTCTATTTGCCCCGGTCTGCACCCCCTGACTCGATGTCTCTCTCCTCAAGACCCCTATGTGGCAAGAAGCAAAAGGAAAGTACCTACCTCCCCTGACGAATAGGTCTCCACTGACGATTGTTAGGGAATGGAAGCAGCTGAGTACGATTGGACTGTATCTTCTGGTATGCTGGAGTGCCACTGTTGATAAAGGCTGAGAAACTCAGTGGTCAGTCCCTAACAAGCTGATATAGACCCAATGTAATGGGGCCAGTCTATTTTTTCAAAACCTAAAAAACCCATCACCAACATTTAGTCTCAGAAAGGGAAAACACTGGCCATTGCAATAATTATCACTATGTAAGATGAGGCAGTTAACATGACTTAACTTAGACTATATCTATGAAAAGAAATATTTCTATAAAACAATGCCACTTTACTGTATAAGTCATGAAGGTCTTCTTTAATTCTGCTTACAAGTTGACAACCCCAGAACTCTGGCTTTATAAAGCAACTAACAAAAGGATAATTATATCTCGGAAGCAGTCCTAAGTTCTGGAAAACATCACATATTTTCAAAGAGATAAAAACAGTGGCTTTTATGGTTTTGTTTTCAAATTAAAGACGATGACAAAATCTTGTGCTTTTTTAAACTACGAGTATTGGTTTTGTAATTCCAAAAACTTGTAAATTAAACATATTTGAGGTTGACTAAAGATTCTGAGGGAAAATTGTGAAATGAAAATGGCAGCATACAAAAATATGTTTACTTTGGGAGGGGGCCTGAATGTTATTAATTTTGTAAAGGAAAATGCTGCTTCAGTGGAGGAAGAAGATTGGTTGAAATCTGCCAGCCATGTACTCTGGATGACTTTCTGAGATTGGCAGAGACCTCATTTGTACTGATAAATTGCCACTTGGGTCACATCAATGATGCTGCCCTGCTGAGGCCACTTTGGCAGAGGTTGTTATCATTTTCCTGCCAAGGATTGAGCTTTTGGCAGGAGACCAGGCTGTGCCCTTGGCTTTCTTCAGGCACACAAACCCTTTGCACCTTCAGCTGGCTTCCTGGAGATGGAGGCAAGAACCCAGCACAAAGAACTTCTGCCACCACTCTCAATTCTCCCTTTTTTGCATGGCAGACCCTTGACTGAGGACAGGTATTGTACCTCACACAGTTAGATGGAAACACTTGAGGCAAAGTTTGGACCTAATGAGCTGTATCTTGTTGGAAATGTAACAATGGACTGAATCTTATTTTTTTTTGTCAAATCTGAAATATGTTGTGTTATTTTGGAGGATTTGTCACCACGAGATTTAGCGAGTTCTCTCATTGTAACTTACTAAACTCGTTGCATTAATTCCTGATCCTATTCCTATGGGACCATTCATGTCAGATTTCCACTCCATCTTACTATGTATTATTCCAGGAACAACTTGCCACTTAGTGGATTTCTGCCAAAAGACTTGTATCCCTTGTACCTATTGCATCTTTCAAAGTGCTGGTGCACTCCCATCAGCACTGTCAGTCTGGAGCTGGCCTGCATGGTTCCTGAGATTTGTCCCACTCATGACAGACAGGAGGAAATCAGTGCCCCACTTTGTGGGCAGGGACCCCAAGGTCCTGCTGGATGGGATGGTGCAAACATGGGACTTTCACTTCCCTGCAATGGAGGTTATGACACCAGACCATGCCAAACTGGTCTGAGGTTACCACTGGGTTAAAACATTTCAGCCATCTGCAAGAATGCCCAGGAGGAAGATCAATGACCTTCTCTATTTTGCCAGCTGCTATCTTCTCTGTGAAACCATTCACAATCTGTTAGTGTACCCATCTCCCACCAAGGCTCAGACTCTACCATTTTTCTCACTAATGCTTGCAACATCTTCCCTCACTCGCACTCACCACTGCCAACTCCTGACAGCAGTAACCTTACATGCCTCATGTGCTGCCTACTCACTCATCTGGGACACCTCCCCATCTGCACCAACAATAATACTGTGCCACCCACATTTATCCCTTAATACCTGCCCCCTCTCTCACGCTAGGAGAAAAATAGCCCACAATAGAATGGGCTATTTTGTTGATGGGCCCCAACATTCAACTGCTCACCTCTTACACGGAGAGGATTTTGACTCTGACTGCCCCAAGCAGACCTTGGAATGGTTAACATAGGCCACCCTTGACTTACTGTGCCAGGACTCCCTGAATAGAGGCTATCCTCCCTTAACGTGACTGAGCCTGCTGACAACCATAACAAGCTTCCTTTCGTTGCGTCTGTGCTAAATGGTGAGGTGAAACTTACGTACTAGAAGTCTGGTATCTCTGGCTAAGGGCCAAAGCACAAAAAGGCAAGGCAGGGTCATGCAAGGCAGAGATACCAAGAACATCCAGGTAATTCAGAGTTACTGAGCCTTGAGAGAGCAAGCAAAGAGTCCTGGGTTGGAGCCTGGTCCAGTCCATGGACTGAGTGGTGTGTGTCGCTGAATGCACAGTATCCTTTCTGCAGCATTACAATGATAGTTGCTGGTGCAGCCCAAGGTGCAGCACTGAAGTGCAGAAGTGTATTGTATGTGCCCTGAGAGTTCTCAGAGGCTGGCACATATCGGATGACAATATTCATGGATGTGGGATGCATGTGGCCAGTGTCTATGGGGTGTGTCCTGAGATGTAGGTGCTTAATGTTTAATACAGGGGTGGTTCAGAGTGAGCGATGAGCCGAATTCACCAGGTTTTCTCAATGTCTAACTTGTTCAGAGTGTTTGGTAAGATAAAAAGCTGACTATTAATGAGATGAGTTGGGCTGTCAACAAAGCATTTAATAAGCAATAGTCGCCTTTAATTGTTGACTCACTGTTGCCTAGTCAAAAACTCATTTCGCTGCTTGTGAAAGGGACAAATGATGGAGCAAGATGCTCTGGACATCCAGATCGACCTCTCTGCACTTATTGCCCAATTCTGCCACATGTCTTGCCGTAGACTGCATTGCACAGACCCTTATCAGATACCGCCCAATGTGTTAGTAAATGAAGCGATACACCATCTGTTATGACTCCCTAGAACTTGCTGGTTCATTTCCTCAGCTCCCCTTATTGCTTTGCATGAATGGTATCTCATCCTCAGCCTCCCCGTTATTTTTAAGAACTTGCTGGCTTTGCACATTAACCCATTAAGTTCATTGCAAAAAATTGGGATTGGACCTTAACAGCATAAGTACTTCTTAAGGATGGGATAATAGTTAACGGAATGCCAATCTATCTCACTTGTTCAGAAACAGAACAATTTAATCTGTGGCGTCTTATTCCTTAAAGAATTGAAGTGATGGTGTTTTTAAAAATCCAAAATCTATGTATCAGTCTTTTCTATCTGCTTCTCCCTTCATCCATTCTTTCCGTTCTTTGTTTGTTTCTCTTCATGTATCAGATTCAACTGAAATCCATTTGATTTCATTCTACTTTGCTCCTCTGTTACTTCCTCAACCCTTGAATCTGCGGTTAAAGAGAGAAACTCTCAATCTTGAATATTCACTTTGGTATCTGATGCCGTTTGCCCGAATCCCATTCTCATCAACTCACTGACTCAGCGGGTTGCAGTGTAAAATTAACTCAAACTGAAGGGTACCTACACCAAGATGCCCAACTCCAGGAAGATGGGAGCCCATCTATCCAGCTCCTCATCTAAGTTGTGACTCACTGCACAATGCTGCCAGTTATAGCATTAATGTATGTGGGATGGCTAGGTGATATTTAACCCTGGCTATTCTGTATGTCCTATCTTGTAACTTCAGCTGTTTGATTTGTTTAGCTTCTTGAGATGCTTGTGTTATGCAATAAATAAATGAAACATTTTCTTCGTAAACAGGTCATGACTTCTGAGAGGATGATTTCTTGTTCACATTTCCGTTTTTTCTTCATTATCACCCTTTTGTATGGTTTCTGGTACAATGTGGAATCACTAAACCTCGAGGACCCTAATGTATGCAGTCACTGGGAGAGGTAAGGCAACATCACATCTGCATGAAATGGTTACAATTGACCAAGTCATTGATTTTCTGATCATGTTTAATTGATTTAGAAGCTCAAGAAATGTGTCAATTTATATATTATTGTTCACTGTATGAATGGGAACTTAGATTACTATGCATATTTAAAAATGTTTAGTGGGTTTTAACATTCTGTTTTAAAATGCATTGGAAACTCATAATCCAAACTCCCACTGTGGCAGAAGCTATTTGAATGTAATACAAAGTACACCTGTAAGTGACGCTTGACTACATGCTGTCACATAACATTAGCAAAATGAGGCATCAGTTGCTTTAATGTTCTGAGTTTATCTCAGTGTAATAGGAAGATTAATTTACCTGGTGCTAACAGTATCAGAATATGAAATTATGTAAATAAGATTAGTATGAAGTGTGGATCTAATTCTTCGTACTTTATTTATCAATAAATCAGTCTATTGTAGTATACTTCCTTGCATGAGCTTATTGCCCAAACACCCTGGTCTTGCCAGTGAAACGTACATTCTATCCATTAATCATGGGTATAAATTGAACTCACACTATTGGCATCCGTCTATATAACAAATCAGCTGTCCAGCCAACTGAGCTAGCCGACCCCCTTAGGCATAACACTGCACTTCCCCCAACCCCCAAGGCATTGCTAAGGATGAGTGCATCACTGACAATGCCATCACTAATTGTCTTTGAGACAATTTTGTGGTGAGCTGCATTTTTCAATTCACTGTAGTTTGCCTGATGTAGCTATGCTCAGTGTTGTTACGAAGGGTGTTCCAGATTTTTGACGTAGCTGTATTGAAGGAATAGCAATATAGTCCCAAGTCAGGATACAGTGTGACTTGAAGGGGAACTTGTGGTTGTTATTGTCCCCATGTATCTGCTGCCCTCGTTCTTCTAGGGCCAGAAGTATATCTACCTGCTCATTTGTCAATTTATCGGAGTGAAATTGAATATTGTTGTCACGAACAGGAAACAGAAATCTTTAGAGAGGAGGACGTCCCAAATGGTGGCATTTATCCCTGAACAATGTTGTTTCCTTTATCATTCATGCAATATGGGCAGCACTGGCTAGGCCAGCATTTATTGCCCCTCCCTAATTGCCAACAGTTGAAAGCAGTTACGTGGTTGTTTTTAGGCTAGCTTTTTTTAAAATTCTAGATTTTTAAAAATTTGAATTCAAATTTCACTTGGGTAGGATTGAACCCATTTTCCTAGCATGTTAATCAGGGCCTCTAGAATGCTAGTCCAGCATCATTACCACTACACCATCTCCTCCTCTTGTATTAGATTAGTGTAAAAAGTATTTATTGGAAAACATTTTAAAGTTTAAAATGCACATTTGAAGAGTTTGGACTTCAAAAGACTGTGTCAATAAATTGAATGAACTATTTATATGATAAGTAACTCACTGTTTTCCTTCCAAGCTATTCGGTAACTGTACAGGAATCCTATGCTCATCCATATGATCAGATATACTATACCAGCTGCGCTGATATCCTGAACTGGTTCAAATGCACAAGGCATAGGTAAGACATTCTCAGAATCTCAAGCTAATTTCTTTGTGAAATCAAATTAAGACAAAAGTTAAGTATTCTGTCTTGATATTGCTGCTTTTAATTCTGTATTGAAGTAAAAGGAATTAAAGATCAGCTTATTTTACAGACGTTGGATTAGCTTTTGGTGTTGGGTCTGGTCTCTGGTAACTTTTGCGTCCCAACAAAGGTGGGATATACATAGCCAAATTGCTGAAAGAAAGGCAATTATTTGGTAGCAGGTGTGTCTTTCACACAGTGTGGGCTCTGTAAGCTGGAGAGCAACTTAAATGTGATCCAAGCAGCCAGGTCATTTTCTTGGCACAAAGGATATGGAAATCCAAAACTCCAAACGCTAACTGAATATATTTTCATATCCCTTAAAGCTCATTTGATTATTTTTGCAGCTCATGACCTATTGTAATATAAACCCATGTTCTGGCATTTGTCTTCCAGAATAAGTTATCGTGCGGCCTACAGGCGAGGCGAGAAAACAATGTATCGCCGTCGTTCTCAGTGTTGCCCAGGATTTTATGAAAGCTCTGAGATCTGTGTTCGTAAGTATTGCTTTTATTTGGAAATAATTTGGGCTGTATTTTTGAGGCTTTGGTTGCTGAGGTAGTGTGGGCATCGTAGCAGCCCGAAAATATTAGTTCCTGCACCTTACTGTTAATGCGATGTCTTTTTGTGTGAAACTCCATAGGATGCCAACACAATACCATACAATCTATTGTGGATTTATTTTGATGGCTTCATATTCACATGCAAGCTGCCAGAAAAATCTATAAATAATCTTTTACTACAACCAGACTATGTGCTTGCTTGCAGATTACTCAGTAATGCAAGACATGTATCCACATTTGACCTCACTATGAAACCAACAATTATTTATGGAAATAATTGGTCTAAATGTATTTATAATTGTATCTCACCTCTACTAATATGAACGTTTACCATATATCAACAGAGCATTAGCTAGCGACTCAATAGTTTAACTAAACAGTACGGTTGAAGGAGTAGTACTGTCACCTGTGATTCAGCAGTTATTTGAGTTCAATCTTACTCCAAAGATTCAAGAACATAATCTAGACTGGCACTCACATTGTAGTGCTAAAGGAGTGCTGCACTGTCAAAGTTGAGGCCTGATTTGTTACAACTAGTCCTTGTTCATTTATTATGATCCTGGGTGAAGAGGGAGGAACTGGTTCCCCCTCATTATTCAACTCCTCCTCGGTTGGTTTGCGATAAAGTTAACTTAAAACAATGGATCCTTTCCTTTATGGATATCTTTCCTAGTTCCTTTGAATTTGTTTTTATAATAAGCCAATTTAACTAGGCTTTGTTAGTTTGAAGAAGGAGTGCATTTATTGGTTACTAAAAAAAGGGGAGGAAAAATAGAATGCAACATGGAAGAATACAGATTTGAGCTGAGTAAAGGATGACAGTTACATATGATACATGCATCAGTTTTTGGTTTATCTGTGCAACGTAGTAGATGAAAGGTTGCAGCCATTAAGTATGGTGATTTTGTTGGCATTGATTCCAGCAGTTGAGTAGTTGATTGGGAGATTCTGGTTCAACAAATTAACTGAAAGGAGTTGCGTGGTTTCCTATTTGACTGTAGCTATTGACTGGTGACTTAATCCAGCAATCAGAGAGAGACAGAGATCTTCTGTTCTTTTCCTTTTTATCTGCAAGTACAGGGGTGTCTAGTAGATGTTCTCAGCTGCACCCTTCACAGCAAACACTAGCCCAGTGGCACTAGAAAACCAGAAAATCAGAGGGGGAGTTCATTTTTTTTTAAACTTTCTTTCTTCTCATGCATTCCTGGCAGGAGGGAACATAGACATGTCTTTTATCCAGACTGCCTGAATATTATGTCCCCGGTCTTGAGATTTAAGTCAGGTTGCATGGTATGTCTCTCTTTGAAGTGATTAGCTGAAATTCTTTGACACCCTTCTATCCTCTAGGATGGACCATAACAGATCACATGTCCCAACCTTGAAGAAGAACAAGAATATTCTTCCTGATGTCCTGTCTATACTTAACCCTCAGCAACATTTAAAACAGATTATCCAGGCCCTTATCACATCACTCTTTGTGGGAGCTTAAAATGTACAATTTAGTTGCTGGATTTCCTGCATTAAAACAGTCACTGCACTTCAAAAATTACTTCCCAGCATGTCCCAAAAACAAAAGTTGTGAAAAGCATCGTATAAATGCAAGATTTTCTTCTGATGCAGTGTAAACTAATGTTGGATTGTATCATTATATGGCTTGTTTAACTCTAGAACAGCTTAATTATGAAAGTTTCTATATTTATTAAAGAGTAAAGAGATGATATAATGTCTTCCATACAAATTTGATTTTCATTAATCTATATGAAATTGATTGTTGAGGAAGCAAAAGGATTTAATATACACCTGTAGTCCATTGAGCAGCAGCTGTAAAGTAGGCAAGTGGTTTATTACTTTGACTGGCAACAACACTTAAAATAATATTAATAAAATTGAGATAACAAGGTGTAGAGCTGGATGAACACAGCAGGCCAAGCAGCATCAGAGGAGCAGGAAAGCTGACGTTTCGGGTCGAGACCCTTCTTCAGAAAACCTTCTCCAGCATCAGCAGTTCCTACTATCTTAATAAATTTGAGTTTGTTTTGTGGTGAGGGACCTATCAGGTTGAGAAAATTAGTAGCAGCTGAGAGATTGGATGTTGTGAATATGAATGAACTTGGTTACAGCAGATTAATTGGTTCACTTGATACCTGAGGGACCAGAATGTACAGATTAACTGAAATAAATGGGGGAGGGAGAGAAATGGCTGATATTTATACAGCACCTTTTACAGCCCAGAACATTTTAAAATACTTTACAGCCATGCAGCACTTTTTGAAGCATTTTTTCTGTTGCAACAGTGGAAACAGGACAGCCAATATGCACTCGGCAATGGCATAATGACCAAATAAACTGTTTCTTGTGATATGTAGCCAGGATGCTGGTTTAAACTCCCTGCTTTTCATTTAAGTAGTGCCAAGGGATCTTTTACATCAGTTCAAGCAGGCAGAAAGGACCTCATAACATCTCATTTGAAATACAGCACTTCTGACAACATAATACTCCTTCAATAATGTACTGTATTGTCTATTTTGATTTTTGTGCTTAAGCTCTGGAGTAAGATTAGAATTTGGAACAGTTCTGTTCAGAGGCCAGAATGTTAGCCACTGAGCTACAGATGATGCTCATCTAAGTAATGTAGTTAGTTTTTTGGTACATTGAAAGCAAACCAAAATTTTCAAACAAAATGAGATACACATAATAACAAATATGAGTTGTAGCTCTGGGTTCTGGGTTTAAAGTCCACTCCAGAAATGAGTACAAACAACAGACTGGCACTTGAAGTGTGGCCCCCTGGACCTTCTCTAGTGAGCATAAGAGATTTTGATGCATTCCGCTGATGTTGTGGCCATCATTGACTTTTAAACTGGTATCAACAAAACTATGGTTGCCCGATTAATATCCCGTTCTGTTTGTGGGATCTTGCTGTCCATAGGTTGGTTGCCACATTTCCAAATTACAACTGTGACTACACTTCAAAAATGGCTTTAAAGCACTTTGGGATGACTGAAATGTGTGAAGTAAATGCAAGTGTATTTTTTAAATAAAAGCCTTTTATTTGTAATAAAAGTAATGCCATTTTTCCTGCACAGGTTGATGAGTATACCTCCCGTGACTGTTCTGTTGCTTTCTGCAGCAGTGTAGATTTTACACGGGTACAGTTCTGTGTCACCACAAAGGCACGGTTGTCTGTTTAATCAAAGCTGAATCAATATACGTGCTGATTATTTTCCGTCAGACTTGACAACTGATTAATTAGACAGTGAAGTGTTACTGAAGTTGAACTAGCAACAAATATCCCTAATCAATTAATTTCCCTACAGGTCGTTTGCAGATGCTATTGCAAGCGATGTAGGAGATAAATATTGGTATGTAAGGGTGAATTGATATAAATCCTGAGCGAGACCATTGCAGAGGTAGTGGGTGCCTTTTTAGGCAACACAATCACATGGTGAGAATATTGAAACTATAGAGGTAGTCTAGCACAGATTTACTGCAATGTTAACTGGCAAGAGTGTTCACAATTGTAACAAATATTTGAACATATTGGGCCTGCTGGCATTAAATCAGATTAGGAATTGGACAAAGCCTTACAAGTGAAGAAATGAATTATTGTGGAGGTGGGGGTGTAAATGCAGGAGAATGCAATTAATTGGACAGTTCGTTCAAAGAACTGGCATGGGTATGATAGACTGAATGGCCTCCTTCTGTGCTGTGAGGTGATTTTAGAGAAATGGTTAACAGTTTGGAGAAATAGGACAGTGTAGTTGGGAACAGGGTGATTCCAATGATTTGAGAGGCCAGGAATAAGGAGACATGGACAGATGATTAAATACAAGAGACACGCGACTGGGATTGGAAGAAACATGTTTCCATAAACAGTTGTTCATCTCTGATTAAGCAGATACTATGTGAACATATCAAGAATAGGTCATCAAGATGTTCAGAGGATAGGAGATCAAGGAATATGAGAACAGGGTAGGCACTGGAGAAGAGGGGCAAAAGTGTGTGTGCAGGATAAACACCTACATCATCTGACTAAGCTGATTGATCTATTCTGCTGCTGTCATTCTAAGGATTGGATTTGAAATAAAAATCATTCAATATTAATCCTAGATGTTTACAAGGGTTTTGACAAAATAAATAAGGAAAAACCGTTTCCAATAGCAGCAGGGTTGGTAAACAGAGGGACACGAATTTAAAATGATTTAATAAAGAGCCAGAGGGATGAGACTTGTTTATGCAGCAAGTTGTTGTGATTATAGAACTTCCTTTCTATGAGGAATGGTTCAGATCTCTGGGTCTGTACTCGATGCAGTTTAGAAGGATGAGGAGGAATCTGATTGAAACTTACAGAATACTGAGAGGCCTGGATAGCTGTGCACGGAGAAGATGTTTCCGCTATTAGGAGAGACCAGGACCTGAGAGCACAGCCCCAAAGTGAAGGGATGACCCTTTAGATCTGAGGTGAGGAGGAATTTCTTCAGTCACAGGGTGGTGAATCTGTACAACTCATTACCATAGAGAGCCATGGAGGCCAAATCATTGAGTGTATTTAAGACAGAGATAGGTTCTTGATTAGTAAGGGGATCAAGAGTTACGGGCAGAAGGCAGGTGAATGGTGTTGAGAAACATATCACCTGTGATCGATTGGTGGAGTCGACCCGATGGGCCAAATGGCCTAATTCTGCTACTCTGTCTTATGATCGTTTTATTCATTCATGGGATGTGGGTTTTGCTGGCTAGGCTAGCATTTATTGTCCTTCACTAATCATCCAAAAGGCAGTTAAGAGTAATCTACATTGCTGTAGGTCTGGGCTCACCTGTAGATCAGGCCAGGTAAGGATGGCAGATCTCCTTCCCTGAAAGGATTTAAGTGAAAGATCTCCGATTTTTATGCTCAAACTTCTGGAATAGGTGTTAGACTCTCAATCTTTTGA